AAGAGTAACAAAATATTTGTGAAATTATTTCTTTATTTTATTTTATATAATTTTTTTATAAACTTTAATTTTGTTGTTATAATGTCATAATACTTTTAAATTGTTTTTATTTTTTAGTAATTAATATTATGAGAGTTAATGAAATTATTATTCATTCCTTAATCTCTCACATTGTTAGTTTCTTTATAATATATCCCTCTCTTACTGTGTAGAATAAATCGATGTTTTATCATATTTAAAATATAACCTTATTACTTTACATTTTTTTATAAAATTTTAATTCATGTTTTAATATCTTTTTATTAATTTAACTGAAAATATTTATCCAAAACTGAATATAATCAGCATTGACAGATATTCGTTCTATAATATCATGTAGTCCCAAACAATTTCACCAAAATCGATAATAATATTCTGGTGGAATGACTTTGAAAAGTGTATAAAAAGATGACAAAGGATGTTATTAATTAATTTTATAGAGAAAAAAAAATATGAGTGATAAGAAATATAATAGAAAACCAATCAATATTTGTTATGAAAATGAGAGAATTGATTATATTTATTACTTATTGTGCAAAAATCTTAAATGACAAATAAAATGAGACTTCGGGAGTATTAAACTAATAAAGTCACGAAATTAATTATCTATTAATGGTGATAAATTTACAATACGAAAATAAATCAATATGATATAAAATTCAACAAGCATGACAACTGTCTTTATCATTTTTGTTAAAGAATTAAAAATAAAAATCATTAAATGGACAATAATTCTTTAAATTCTTATCACATTGAATGAAATATTATACATGTAATTAAATAATTTCTATTTGCAATCATGTATCTGATATTGAGATGATCGTTGACAAGACTCAAAACGCAAGTCCACGTCAATGGTTATAATTTGTAAGGTTTGAATTTAATTTGAAATAAAACTTATGATTCAACTAATATACGAAAATTAATTTGCTTGAGTTATATATATATATATATATATATATATATATATATATATATATATATCCTGTGACACAATAACCCAGCAAGGTGCTGGTACTGGAATGCGTGTAAAAGCAAGGGTTTTGGATGCAATTTGCCATTGAAACTACAAAAATTGCTCAAAGAAGCTGGGTGGTTCGAGGTAATTGGCAATGCATTTCAGGTATATTGTTCATCACTTATAAAATTTCACATATTATTTATACTTATTTGGGAATCAAGTGGTTCAAAATCATGCCTATTATCGACCTTAAGGAAATTAGGTATATTAGGGTTTTTTGTTTTGTTTTTAAACTCTCTGAGATTGTAATTCTGATAGAGACATGGTACAGAAGAGGGGAAAAAAATAAGATATAAATAAATAAATAAAAAGATAAGATATTGAAAAGAACTTATTATTAAAAAAATAATAATGACAAGTTTGGTTTCTTAGTTTTGATAGCTTGATATTAGGGATGATAATGGGTAATGTACTCGATAGGCACTCGCAAAATTTATTCACAATGGGTAAGGTATTTACCCGCTATGCGGGTACGGGTATAGATATGGGTAAAAACCCGCAAATTTTAATGAGGATGGGTGCGGGTATGGGTATCTAAGTACTCACCCCGCCCCATATATATATATATATGCTTGAATTTTATTATATAATTATGTATTAAATTTTTCTATTATGATATTACTTATGTGAAGTTATATAAGATTAATATTAAAATATATTTAACAATAAAGTAAACCAAAAAATTTATTTACTATTTTATATCATTTAATTAGGCTAATACAATTTAATTATTACATAGTTAATATGAGATTGACTTTTTTAAAAATATTATTTATATATGACACACATAAAATATTTTCTATACAAATATTTTTGTTAATAAAATCATATTGATGTTAAATCATAAATTGAATGATAAATAATAAATATATTGTAAATATTTTATAAATTTTACAATCACCTACTATTACCGTAAATTTATTATTTATTAATAATATTTAAATTTTATTTTTATATTTTAATTTAAAATAATATTTTTTATGCAACATATGTATTACAAGCACAACTATAATCTATTGAATCTAAATAATATTATTCTTACTATTTATTCACGTTCAAAGAAGTTTTTGAAAAGATATAAATATAAAAAATTATTGTTAATTTTTTCAGATAAAAAAGTATATATTTTTTAATATACACGTATATTTCTTTATTATAAAATTTTATTGTAACTATTTATCTTTTATTTAAATTCTTTCTTTTAAAATTTATATACATTATAAATATTTAATTCATTAAAATAATTTTTCAAAAATTTGTATTTTTCATAAAATACTTTCGTATAGTATATGAGTTAAAAATATTAGTATTAATATATATATATATATATATATATATTATTTTAATTAAATCTATTATTTTTCTTACAATTTTAAATTCAAAAGTTAAAAAAAATATTTTATGTATCCACTTTCTGTTGTTAGTATTTAACTTCTCTACTCTAACTCTATTCTCATTCTCAATGTTTGTCTCATTAAAACTTAACAATTATGAAACGTTATTTATTAGAGTTAGTTGTCAATGTCGTCACAAAAGGTCACTAAGTGATCCCACACAAAGGGACAATCATTGTACATATTTATTTCGTTATCACTCTAACATTACCAATCAATCAAATTTCACACAAGATAGGGTTATCACTAACAAATAACTTATGTATTTAGTTTCGCTTATTGTTTCTAAGAATTTTAGTTTAGAAAATTATTATATTAAGATACATTTAACATTTATGATCTTTGAATATTTATTTTTTATCTATATTTATACTTTGTTCGACAACTACATATTAAATTTTTGTATTATTATGCTATTTATGTGAAGTTATATAAACATATTTTTCTTTATAAATATTTTTTCTCAAACAAGTGCGGGTAATAGGTACAAGATGAGTATGCGGGTATCCAAAGGATACAGGTACGAGGATTAATATTCATATTTACGCGGATATGGGACCAGGTACGAGTATTTTTTTAAAACGCGAGTATGAGAATGTGTACTATAGTACCCTACCTATTGTCATCCTTACTTGATATTAAACTCATAATCTTTTATTGTGCAATCTTTATTTTTTAATCTAGTACTTGTTCAGTTTCAAATTTCAATCCCTAATTTGTAATTGCTCAATTTAGATTCTTCTATTTTCTCATTTATTCTAATTTTTTTTCTAACTTTTAAATGTATAATTTTAGTTTTTTTATTTTATTTTTATCATGTTATTCAAATTTTAACAAAATGGTGAATTGATTGTTAGTTATATTGAAGTGTCCATATTCATTTTGTTATTAAATGTGTTGAATTGTTTAGGTTAATTATGTTGTTGAATTTATGTGTTTAAATTTAAAGATTTTTTTTTTTGAGATAAATTTATTAGAAAGACTAAAAAAAAAAAAGAGAGAGAGAACATTTGAACGTGAAAATAAAAACACAAAATACTGACCCTATATGATACACATTATCATGACAAGATATTTTTAATAAGATCAATCAAATAAATGGAGACATATTAACATAATTAATATGTATTTCATTACTTTATTAAAATTTGGATAATAAGTTAATAGGTGCAACTTTTTTAAATAAGAGAATCAAAATTGCGTATTTGAAAAATATGTAAATATCAAACTAGTAAGACAAAAATCAAACAAGTTCTAAATTAAATGACTAAAATTGCATGACAAAAATTAAAAAATACAATAAAAATAAAATAACTAAAATTATAATTAATCCTAAAAATTTACTATAAAATTATTGTCCCCCTACTCTTTTGCAGCCGGATAGCGATGCAAGCAACGTGTCTAAGAAAATTAGTCAACTTAATTTAATTTTTCTTAAAAGAAAGTTATTAAATAGTTTTTTAAAATTATAAAAGTAGTTCGTTTTAAATTTTTTATCCATTAAATATAAAAAATAATAAAGTATTTAATCATCATAATTTTTAGAAATTATAATAATTACTTATTTTGAAAAAAATTAAGTGTCTCTCGCATTTATTTTTTATAGAGAAATTTGGATATTCACTCGGTACTAACACGTGTACTCTGGCAAATAGCACTTTCCAGCTATACAATGTGAAATGATAATCGATCACTTCGTTAGTAGACAATGAGACCAACTAGAATCGGAAAATGAAAATGACCGCTATACACTTTGCTGGCGTAACACTAATAAGTGATGTAATAAGATTAAAAAAAAAACATGTGAGAGATAAAAATATTATACACATACACATGAATATCATTATTAAAACTAAATATGTTCCAATATAACACTTATCATTATTAAAACTAAAGGATTATATATATTTTTCTCATATTTTAGTTTTTTTAAGTAATTTTCAAGTCTTTAATTTGTGATAAATTTTGTATTTTTAGTCTATCTGATCCATTAAAAAACTGTTATGGGTAAAATTTTTGTTTGATCACGTCTGCATTAGAAATTTAAAATAAAAATTTATTAAAAGATAAAATTAAAATAAAAGCTTCACAATCTAAAAAGCATATTTAAGAATATACGAAACATTACCCAATTCAGCAAATTATGCAACAGGTCTTTTTTTTTCTAGAACACTTTACACCACAGTTTAAGAATACTATTGCATATTTTTGCGTTTTGAAATATGTGCACAAGGTTACATCGGATACTTGTATTTTTTGTTCCCCTTTTTGCAATTTTGTCGGAGACGCAGAAGAAGATAAGAGATGAATGACAATGGATGATGCTGAGCTTTCTATCTGAATTGACAATTATTAATTTATCTTTTCAAGTCTTTTCCAAATTCCAACCCCACATCTGCATTACTATTATTATTTACCGCGTTTTATGTTTGACAGTATTGAAGAATTAGGAAGATGTTGGCTTTTGAAGGATAATGGCAGTTGCTAACTATAGAATAATGTGGACGATTAAGTTAAAAAGGAATATTAAAATTGCATGTAGCTTCAACTTGCCAACATCTCCTCCTTTTGTTTCACTCACTTGTGTGTGGACAGTTGAGTTCCACGTATGTCATTTGAGTAGCCCACATTCTTAAATTGTTTTACATTTTCAGATTGCTACACTTGGATTAAAAAGGCACAATCTTTTTGGTTCCTGTTATATAGTAATTAACTGAATTGTAGAGAGCAAAGATGAGAGTTGCAGTGGTTGGTGCTGGGATTAGTGGGTTGGTTTCTGCTTATGTTTTGGCCAAAGGTGGAGTGAATGTGGTGCTCTATGAGAAGGAGGACTGGTTGGGAGGGCATGCCAAGACTGTGAATGTTGATGGTGTTGATGTGGACCTTGGTTTCATGGTCTTCAACCGAGTAAGCACACCTTTTTCTCTCATTCTTCAGGACTTTGCTTTATTTTTTATGTCAAAACTGAACTTTGCTAGCCTCAAAATCAATGACACATTATCCAAAACAGTAAAGGGCAAGCAAGCTTTTTGGCTGTTCTCAATTTTCATGTAAACTTAGATACTCTCTAGGTTATCCTCCATAGATTGTGTGTGTTATAATAATGCTTTTCAGATTCTCGCCAGTGTTGAGGAGAGAATTATATTCAGATTTTCAAGGATGAACCTAAAAGGGTAACATAAAAATATATATATTTTCGAGAATTTGAAAATAAATCTACCAGGGAGAAATAGTAAAATGACAATTTTATTCATAATTCTATTGACGAATATACATTGCTTTATTTGTACTTATTTTAGTTTCTTCTCTGATCGAGTACTCTAATTTATTTACATGACAAGAAGTCATTGTTCTTCTAATTTCTTACAACTTCATCCATTTAGAAAATTAAATAAAAAGACAACTGTGCTGTCATTGACAATAAATTCACATTGCTTCATAGATAACATATAGCTGGCTGAATAATTTACTTGTTCGTATTTCATTAGTGGTAATATTTGTAGAATAAAAATAAACTTGCATTAGCATAAGCATTAGGGTTGGGTGATGTTTAGCTACACTTGTCACTTATTCCTTCCATTCCATTTGTCCATACAATGTTTACACTGAATTTCAATTTTTTAAAGCTTTTATAATAATGCCTTCCCAAATAACTAATTACTTTTTTGTAATTTAAATTAATAAATGTATCACCTTTTTTGAAGAACTAAATGTTAATTAATTAGAAAGAAGATAAATTTGTATTTTTATCAATAATTATAAAAATATTATCATATTTTTATTTAATTTTGTTTTAAAAATTTTATATGAAATTAAGAAAATCAATATTTAATTATTTTTCTATTTCATATATTTTTATTTAAAATAATAATAAATTAATATGCTTACAATTATTTATAAAAACATTTTTAAAACGTCTATTAAAACTGAATCTCACTATACTATATAGGATAATATTATTCATACAAACTTTGTAAGATAAATTTTACAATTTAAGAGAAAGATAAAATGAGAAAAATAAATATCGAATAAAATAAGTAAAGGAAAAGAATGACAAAAAATAATTATAAAAAATATTCTTCTGTAAAATTGTAAATGTTTTTCAGCTTCAAGAAAGATATGTATAGTCTTATCTTAAAACCTATAAAGAAGCGGGAAAGTGTATCAAAATATATACGCTTTAGTGGGCCCCACCTGTGGTCCTGATGAGTGATTTTTACCTTTTTTTTTTTTTTTTTTTTTGGTTCTGAGACGTTTATTTGTTTAGGTCCCATCAAAGCTCAGCCTCTGAGCCTCTTTGGACTACTTCTGATGACTGTTCCGTAACTGAAAATTGTCTTACAAGGACACCATTTTAAAAAAAGTGGTCAAAGTGCGCCATATATTTATATATAACCCAGATTGGAAAGTTGATTAGAAAGGTGTAAAAATAGTAGGGGGATTTTTAGCTATGGCAATGTTGTACATTGTACAATGTAGAATTCCTCTGGATGAAATTTTTTGGTTGAGAAGGTGATGCTCACAATTTTTAGATTCACAATATATATATTTGGTGATGTTCAAACTTTGTCAAATAAATAAACTGCTTAAACATAATGTAGTCTGGTGTAGGACTATGGGGAGTTGTAAGTTTAAATTCATACATAGTAGCATTGGTCATTGTCATCATAAAGGTAACAACGGTCCACATTAAAGGAAACAGACACACACAAAGCATCAGTATTGATTATGCCCAACGCAATCTCATTGTTATACTTTGAAAATATGATATTGTTAGTCAAATCATGAATTATCAATCACTATATTCAGAGATATTCCACATTCCCGTTTACCTGTATCCTGGTCACAAGGGATGTCTTGTACAGTTGTGAAAATGCTAACTGATTAACTGTCTTCATAAAGATATGCATAATTTAATGTACTATCAATAAAGCATAAAAATTCCGTGTTAGTATATAGCCGATAATTCCACATAGGATCATCAATCTACTGTGCTGTGTGTGCATGGATTATATAAACCAAGAAACTGGTCCATGGAAATTTTACAATATGCTGTACATACTATGTTATGCAGATGTTGAGATGGGTACATACATGACAAGTACATTACATATATAAAAAGACAATATCATCTCATATTATAGAACAGAAATCATCAAAATCATCGTAAATAAAGGATAATAGTTGGATCATTTGTAATTTTGTTAGTTTATATTTTCAGCATTAATTTTTGTAGAAACAATAGAAAGGGTATCAGGTTAATGATATCCCACCAGAATTGGCTAAAAAAATATTCAAAAACAAATAGGATGCAAGCATGTAGTCTGAAAAATATCCAATACAGTATGCAAAATGGCAAGCATTTCACAGTTTCCTTTATTTTTACTGTTATCAGTTAAAATGTTAGGTATTGAATTCATTCATGTATTTGGATATTGATTGATTTTGTATGATGAAATAGTTACAGCAATGTCATTTTGGGGTTTTATATATATATTGACAATGTAATATGAATAATTAAACAGGTCACATATCCCAATATGATGGAATTTTTTGAGAGTCTTGGAGTTGTTATGGAATCATCAGACATGTCATTTTCTGTTAGCCTAGACAATGGCCGGGGCTGCGAATGGGGAAGCAGAAATGGTTTGTCCAGCTTGTTTGCACAGAAAAGGAATGCACTGAATCCTTACTTCTGGCAAATGATTAGGGAAATTATCAAGTTCAAAGATGATGTTAATAGGCCAGTTGTTACCTACTTTTATTGTTAAATGCTTCAAACTGCAAAGTACATAATAGTTTTCTTCCTATTGTCCTGAATAACTGAACCCTGATCAATTAGTTTGCTTTTTCTTTTCCAATTTTGCAATGCAGCTATCTTGATATGCTTGAGAATAACCCAGATATTGACCGCAATGAGCCACTTGGGGAATTCATCAAATCAAGGGGTTACTCAGAATTATTTCAAAAAGCATATCTTGTTAGTTCAATCACATCTTAGACTAGTGTTTTCTGTATTTTCTATATATACCATTTCTATTCTTAGTGTATATTTATAATATTAAATACATGTAGATTCCAATTTGTGGTTCTATCTGGTCCTGCTCTTCTGAAGGAGTTATGAGCTTTTCTGCTTTCTCGGTTCTTTCATTCTGTCGCAATCATCATCTACTTCAGGTACGAGGACAATTGACTCTGAAAGATTTGTATAGGGTATAATCTAGTTCTATTATCTAAATAACTAAAGATTACTTATTGATTCACATGGTCCTGTCTACAGCTCTTTGGCAGACCACAGTGGCTAACTGTAAGATGGCGCTCACAAAATTATGTTAAGAAGGTGCTATTTATTGATTATCATACAAGTCTTAAATATATATCTATGTCACCTGGAGAGTAGTTTCCAGTGTCACTTATACAAAAGATCTTTCAACTTAAGCTATAGGACAAAATTTGACATTAACTACTTTGTTATAAAAATCAGGTCAAAGAAGAGCTAGAGAGTAAAGGTAGTCAAATAATAGCTAATTGTGAGGTTCACTTGGTTTCAACATCTGAAAAAGGTGATTAAGTAATCCAACCGTTGTTACTCTTTCAATTCCTTCCCCTTTAGATAGGGAAGGTGAACTCAATCTGGTTGATTGGCATGGGCATTGCCTTTTTTTCTTAAATATTAATTATAGTTGGATTTAAGTAATGAAATTCTAGTAACAAGACTAGAAAAATTATTGCAGGATGTGTTGTGTACTGCAAAGATGGTTCTCAAGAAATGTATGATGGATGTATAATGGCAATACATGCACCTGATGCCTTGAGACTATTAAGAGATGAAGCAACATATGATGAGCGAAGAATTCTTGGTGCTTTTCAATATGCATACAGGTAAAATCCATTCTAATATTTCTAATTGTTGGATGTGGTTATATTTACATTTGAAGCATTGATCAAATTCATGCATTCCTGGAAGCCACAAGATACATTCATGTCATCACGTATGTTAATGAGTAAAAAATGTTAAGCTGATAAAATCAAGAATCTTTTGTTGTCTATATTCAAATATGTCCAAATGCACAATTATTCTTTGATCTGTATTGGCAGTGATATTTTTCTTCATCGTGACAAAAATTTAATGCCCAAAAACCCAGCAGCATGGAGTGCATGGAATTTTCTTGGAAGTAACAACAACAAAGTTTGTGTGACATACTGGCTCAATATTCTTCAGGTTGGTAAATTTTCATACGCATGCATTGATCATAACTGAACTCTATTATTATAACTAAAGCGAGCAATGGACTAACTTGGTTAATATTTATTCTAATTTGTAGAATATTGAAGCAACAAGTTCACCCTTTCTTATAACTCTCAATCCAGATCGTATACCAGAAAATACCTTGCTGAAGTGGTCAACTGGCCATCCAATCCCATCAGTTGCTGCATTCAAAGCTTCGTTAGAGCTAGACCATATTCAAGGGAAAAGAAGAATCTGGTTTTCAGGGGCCTATCAAGGTACATTCCTGCTTATTGAATTGACAAACAAAATATTAACAACGAAGTCACTACTAGCTTCCACGAACCTGTTTATGCCCACTAAATTATGTATATCTAATCTCCATTATTTTTAGAAACAACCTCTGTTAAGTTGAGGAATTTATATGTGCTTCAAATATACCAGTGATCTAAACATATATTTGTGCTTTTCAGGTTATGGATTTCATGAAGATGGATTAAAGGTAGTTAATGCCAAGTCTATAAATAAAGAGGGAATGTAATTTTCACTGAAAAATAATATTTCTTTTAAGGGTTTCCTTAAACGGAAATATATTTAGGCAATTAATTTTCTTGCAAAATGTTACCAAGTTGTTGAAATGAAGCAAAAAATTTAACTCTAAGCTTGAACTTTCAGGCTGGCATGATTGCAGCTCATGGCATTCTTGGAAGATGCTGTGCCCTTCAAACCAACCCAAAACACATGGTACCTTCTTGGAAGGAACTGGGAGCACGCATTTTTGTGACTAGATTCCTGAGTTGTTTTATCACTACTGGTTGTTTAACGTGAGTTGACTTCTGACAGTTTGTACACTTCCAATAATGGTTCTCCAAACAGAAAAAAGTATCATAAAGCTTAATTTTAGTATTACAAGATATATAATGATGGTATATGTTTAGTGATGAAGAGCTTTGGGATTATATGAGCCTAAATTACTCTTTCAAGTTGGTAATATGATATCCATGCAATAAGTATGCATGTAGAATTGGATTTAAAAAATGAAAATAAATAAATAATTAGAATTCATTTAAATAAAAGATATTTACTTGTAATTTAGAAAATTGGGTAAAGCTTAACTTTTCTTTGCATACTTGATTACAAATTGAACTAGGGTACCAAAGAGTGTTTGTTTCGTTGGTGCATGCCTAATTCTCCTTAAGTTAGGTATTTAAGGAAATAAATTCCTACAGGGAGAGTTAGCTCCATTATACTGTTGATGTTTTGAACTCAAACATAATTGCCTAGAAGATACAAGTGGTCTAGGCCAAAAGTAGGGTGATTCCAAAAGCAATAGATCTACTAGGGTTACCAGTTTTGAAAACAATAATAATCATTTCCTTTGATATCATGCTCTAGATTGATTTTAGTATTTTTATTTTTTTTTCACGGCTTGACAATGACAAGATTAAAAATACATCATATATGTCATCTTCTATGGATTAGACATTAAAAATTTATTTAAATTACTGATACATTTTACCTTGAGGAATTACAGTTTATTGGAAGAAGGAGGAACGATGTTTACCTTTGAGGGAACTGGGAAAAACTACTCTCTGAAGAGTGTTATAAGAGTCCACAATCCCCAATTTTATTGGAAGGTATATATATAGTTTTAAATTTTGCATGAAGTAGGATTATTGATAGATGTCATTCTAGGTGTGGAAGTGACAGAATATGCTTATCTATGTCGATGCAACTCTAGGCTTAAGTGGTTGGCTAGGAACTGAAACCTAATCACTTCTACGTGTTTGGCAGGTGATGACACAGGCTGATTTAGGCCTTGCAGATGCATATATCAACGGGGACTTTTCATTTGTTGATAAAAATGAAGGTCTCTTGAATCTTATTTTGGTAAGGATGCTCATCTTAATCTTATAGAGTTGTCTCTTTGGGTCTTAACACTTTACTTCCATGTACTTCGGTTTTTTTACTGCAGATTCTCATAGCTAATAGAGATTCAAATGCATCCAACTCAAAATTGAAGAATAGGTAAGTTAATATGATGAGTTGAAGCCTATAATTACTATTAATTGTATTTGCATATTAAAATTTTATTTTATTTTTTTCCTTAGAGGTTGGTGGACACCAGTTTTCCTTACAGCTGGTTTGGCATCTGCAAAGTTCTTCATGGAGCATGTTTCAAGGCGAAATACTCTCACACAGGCTCGCAGGAACATCTCTAGGCATTACGACCTGGTATGAAGATCATTAACTACGAAGTTTCCTAGATTCAGTGACTTTCAAGGAACCTGTTGCAGCAAGTACATATTATCCATCAAGATATAGTTGTGTGAGCATATAACTAGTTATGCACAATCACAAAATGTCAAATCAAATATTCTTTAGCAAAAAAGATAGCTAAAAAATTGAATTTTGAATCTGGAGTTTACTCTCAAAATGTGTGTATCTATTGAAGGAATAATGAAGAGACTCAGAATAGGAAATATCTTCCAAGAAATATGTTACATACTGTGGTCATACAAGTTCAGGGTATATCTTCCTATGGTTTTGATCTTTCTTCTGCCTTGATATAACTCGAATAGAGACAAACTCAATGCTTCAGTTACAGTTTATAGACTGTGAATAACGTTTACAGTTTGGTTTACCACAATATGGCAGCCAGAATTATATATTGCTTGACAAAGAATTGTTTTTGGGTTTCATAATTGCTCTCCCTTTTGTGCTAACATTTATTCTTCATGGGACATTTTCTAGTGATCTTCGGTACCTTTTGTTTCCATGATTTTTTTGAGTGCTGACACTAAATGAACAGAAGTTTACAATTTTTCTTTGGTCTGTTTCTAGAGCAATGAACTCTTTGCTATTCTCTTGGATGAAACAATGACATATTCATGTGCAGTGTTCAAGGCAAGATATTCCTGTACATGTAAAAGATATTACTCCTTCAATTTCAGCAGCAGCACTGGTTAACATTCTTCCTTTGTTTATTTGTGAAATAATCTTACAGAATGAAGACGAAGACTTGAAAGATGCACAAAAGAGAAAAATATCTCTTTTGATTGAAAAAGTGAGTGCACCGGATTGTTATTTTATTACTATTTTAACTATCATCTTGCAAAAGGTCTAACATGATTTTTCCTTAATCAAGGCTAGAATAGATAAGAAACATGAAATTCTAGAGATTGGATGTGGATGGGGAAGTTTAGCTATTGAAGTTGTCAAACAAACTGGTTGCAAATACACTGGTGTTACTTTGTCCAAGGAGCAATTGAAACTCGCAGAAGAAAGAGTTAAAGATGCTGGGCTTCAGGTATTAACAAGCTCATTTTTTTAAGATTCGTGAATTTCTTAATATACAATCTGATGGATTTTTTATAAAATTAATAAAAGCTAAATGAAATATATTCACCTTAGAAACTAAACTTGTGTTCTTATAATATGCTTGTACTTCTCATTCTGCATCTGAACCTAAAATATCTTGACTAAATTCATGTTAATTCACTATTCCAGGACCACATCAACTTTCTTCTGTGTGACTATCGCCAATTGCCAAAGACATACAAATACGATAGGATTATATCTTGGTGAGATATCTATCATCTAATTTTTTGGACTCCTGGCAATATTTCCAACATATTTCATAACTGGTTTAAGCATACTTCAGTGAAATGATAGAAGCTGTTGGCCATGAATATATGGAAGAGTTCTTTGGTTGTTGTGAATCAGTTTTGGCAGATGATGGCCTTCTTGTTCTCCAGGTATTTCACAGATTACTAAACTTTTATTTTACCTTAGTTCTATCAAATATCAATATGATTTTTGTGTAATGTTTAGATAATAAAACTATCTAGAGGGCATGCCAGTGTGCAAATGAAATGGTAACTACACAATACATTACTTTTGGTATTTAAATTGTTGCTAACTATTGAAGATGATTATCTTCTATAGTTCATATCAATCCCGGATGAGCGTTACGATGAGTACAGGCGCAGTTCTGATTTTATAAAGGAATATATTTTTCCAGGAGGTTGCCTCCCCTCTCTAAGTAGAATAACATCAGCCATGGCAGCCAAATCCAGACTATGGTACAAGTTATATGTAAATGCTGAGTTTTATCATTGTGCATTCCCATCATTCTTCTCTCTTACTCAAAGGAATATCTTAAATGCAGTGTGGAGCACGTTGAAAACATAGGAATTCATTACTACCAAACGCTCAGATGCTGGAGAAAAAACTTCATGGAAAGGCAGAGGTATGTTATTAACTTGATGGAAACTTCTCTATACTAAATTCTAGTAACTACTTGCACTAACTAGTTGTTGAAATTTTATTTTTGTGCTGGCAGCGAAGTTTTGGCTCTTGGATTTAATGAAAAATTTATAAGGACATGGGAATACTATTTTGATTACTGTGGTGCAGGTTTTAAGTCACGCACACTTGGGAATTATCAGGTATATTACATAGTTACTATTACAATCTTGAAGTACTTTTTATCCTCTAAACTGACTAGTCATACTCATTGGCATAGCCATATGTGTCAATCTTGTGTCCCACGAGAGTATCAACCCAAATTTAAGATGTGTCTAAACCTGTAGTTATCTTAATGTATTTAGTTTTAGCAATTTAATCTTTTCTCACTTACATGATTTACACGACATCATTGTGTCCTACCAAAAACTTTTATGTTGTGTTTGAAAAGAGGTAAATTATTATATTACATATATTTCGATAGTAAAGAAAGTATTTTTAGAAAAATTCAGAAAATTTTTATGTCAAGTATAAAGAATTTTAAATGATGTCTTTAAAGAGAATTTAGAAAGTCCTCTGATATCATATGTTTATTTTTTAGTAATTATTATTCATAATTCTTCTCATACTTGATTCACATTTTAAACATCCCTCATTATTGATGTTAAATTCTCAAAAATTCTATAATTCTCCATCCAAATACAACCTTAATTTAATCTTAATCTACCAGTAAAATATCATTTTCTAGAAAGCAGCCCAAAATTTATGTTACAAACTTGATATTAATTTTGCTGAAATTTAAGCTACTCCTAAGTACTAATTAGCAAAATATTTCATTCAACAGTGACACTTATCAAAATGTAATATGTTGCTTGAAGTTGCAATTTGTTAGTTATAACAAAGTATATTTGTACGATGTAGGTGGTTTTCTCACGCCCTGGTAATGTTACTGCATTCAGCAATCCATACAAAAGCTGACCCTAAGCCTGTTGATTTGTTTCTAAGGAGATAACAAGCCTCACACATTCTATCAAAGTACATTGCATGATGGTGCCATTTTGCTGCTTTCATGATAGTCTAATCATTCCTTCTGTCAATTTATCTCTTGTGCATTGTTGAATTAGAGGAGCTTAAATGTGCTGCTTCGCAGTGGCAAACAGCTAGATTGATGAGATATTTTTTCTCATAAAAAATGATGATTTTTTGAATGGAGTTAGCTTATATGTAATTCTTATTAACAAAGTATTTCAGATTAATGATGAGATTTCAATAAACTATTAAAGCTTGAATGCGTATTATTAGTTTATTCAGTTCATGCGTTGTGTTTCCTTAAGACCTCTCCACATTTTCCCAATGCTTTATCAATAAAAGCTCCAAAACCTTTAATATCGAGTGTACTTTTTTGTCTTTTCATGACTTTTGGTCAAAGATTTGTAACAGATCAAGGTAGTTCAAGCATTGCATTGAGCCCGAGAATTTCCATGAATAAATGTTGTAGATGTCATAACACAAAAGAAAAATTCACAGTGAACAGATTCGGAGACTATTTAACATTGCACACGATAAGAAATTATCTGTAATAATTTTTTATTAAAAATTATAAAATTAAAAGTTACATTTTTAATAAAAATTGATTATGTATATTTCTTATCAACGTTACAGAACAGGTTTAAAAAAATTATATAATTATATTTATTCAAGCACTCAGAATGATCTAGGGTGTATATGAATTGGATTTTCAGAAAATCAATTTAAATTTATTTAAAATCTAATTATATGAATTGAATTATAAATCAATTTATTTTAATTTTTTTTAAAAATTAGTTTAAATTTTATTTTAAAATTTGGATTTAGTTTTTAAATCTGATAAAAATATACTATAAATATTTTTTATAATATTATTAAATTATTATGTTAAAAAACATTTAAATTTTATAATAATTAATATGACATTATATAATAATTATCATATATATATATATATATATATATATATATATATATATATATGAATACAAATAATACTTTAATCCATTATATCTCTGAAAGAAATTATCAATACATGTAAAAAGAATATTTACATATATTTTAATTTATTAATAATATATCTTTTATACTTTTATATTTTATTAAACTAATAAATATTTAGATATATTCTACTTTTTATTATCTATCCATCACACAAACTTATTACATGAATTAAATTTTAAATTATTTTATTTTTTATTAATTTAAAAGTAATTTTAAAATTTAAATTTAGTTTAAAATTAACTTTAAATTTAATTTTTGCTGAAACTAGTTTTAAATTTAATTTTATGTTAACCTAGTTTTAAATTTAATTTTAATGTAAACTAATTTTTAATATATTTATGAATTTTATTTTTAAAGTAAAACTAATTTATTGTACGTAATATTATAACAAAATTTTAACAAAATTTATTTATTATATTATATTTTATAAAAATTTATAAAATATTTTCTATTATTTTTAACGTATTTTTAATAAACAGAATTAATAATGAAAGTTTAAATTAACACCTATAAAAATAAAAATTAATAATATAAATAATAATAAAATTATTATGTTATAATATTTTAAAAATTAAAAAATAAACATAAATATAAAAATAATAGTAGTAATAAATTTAAAAATGTTTATTATATTTTAATATTTTTAATATAATAATTATATTTTAAAAATATTATTTTAAATATTTAATTTTAATTATAAAAAATAAAATTAATAAAAAATATTAATAATAAAATGTAATTACAATACAATTTTATAAACTGATATAATGCAAAAATTTAATAAATAAAAATATAAAATATTACGTTCATACATATGAATTGAGATAATTAAAAAAATTAAATTTAAACATTAAATCAGTTATACAAATATAATTAATTAAAAAATAAATTTTAATTTTTAAAACCAATTTAATATTAACTTATAAAACTGAATTTTTTTCTCCAGGCCTGAACACCGAAATACCTAAAGACCCATTTGTTTTGGGGCAGAACGGAGCAAGATAGGACCTTGCACATAACGTCACAAGTTTTAAATTTACTTAATATAAGCTAATTTAACATTTATAAAATTTTAACAACTAGAAAGTATATTTCATAACAAGTAAATTTAAAACTGTTTTAAATTTTTTTTCATGAAAAACGTTTTTTAATAATCACTTTTAGATTTCAAATTATTTAGTTAAGGTTGTGAAAACATTTGAAACTGAAAAACAAAAAACAAATTTATTTTAAACAATTTCTAGGAACAAATTTAAATTATAATCATCCACTAAGGAAATGTGTCTAATAATTATAACAAAATAAGCTAGTTTTCATAAATTTTAAAAAAATAAATGATTTATATATATTCTTAAAATTACTTTTTTCAAAAGCTTGCGTAGGTAGTGCAGACACATTTCACCATTAAAAGTAACTGAACGCTAAAAAAAACATAAGAAATTGAAAGTGCTTTTACATGGTACAACAGAAAGATGAAAAATATATTATCAAGAAAATTGGCGCAAAAAGTTATAAATAAAAAAAATTAAAAATTCTAAAAAATATTGTAAATGCCACCGTCCCCAAATATGCTACATGGGACAAACAAACTATTAGTAAGGCCTCATGACGGAAAAAAAAAAGAAAAAAAGAGGGGGACTAGACACACCAAAACCAATAAAAGTCGAATGAACAATTTTTTTTTCTAACTCAAGCACCAACAAATAAGGGTATACCCCTTATATACCAAGAAAACTTAATATGAGAACATGACTGCCTGAGAATGACTACAACAACAATACATCAAGTGATGAAAGAACAGAAAGCACTAGCCACAGAGAGGAAATGACAATTTAACATTCCAGAAGTGCAAAAAAAAAACTAAAATGAGAGACAGCAATAAGTGCTAGGAAGGAAGACGTAACAAGGTACATCTACTTAAAAATATTGCCCTGAACAGACAAAATGTTGTAGACATGGAATTATCTGGAGCATGAAAATTCAAACACAAGCCAGAATCAAAGGTATCAATCAACTGGACACCTAAAACTGGGATAAAAATTCTAACAAGTCACGGCCAACTGATATGGTCAATGTGCCGCAAACCATCCCCTCAAGCCCTCACAATTTCTGTCAGCCACCACACACCAGATTGAAAGTTATGAGATTTTATCCATGAAAAGCCAGAAATCTCCAAATTTGGCGATGCGTTGGACCAGAAAAACACAATATGACTGACCAAAGTTCATGCCTTAGCCATGAGTGGACACTTGGCTCCACTTCAATACTCGTGCACCTCTCCTCCTGTACAACACAAGTGCAAATACAGGGGGAAAATGATTATGCCATCCTCAAAGTTTTTACTATCACTACCATTATACGCTACCCATTACGAAGTGATCAACCCAAGTGTCCACTGCTATCAGTAAATACCTTGACTATATCTTCATATTTCTACTTGTCATGACAATTAAAGTATGATATGTCTACACAATAAGATTTCCTACAGCCAAACTGTAATAAGAAATGTACAGACAGAGTACAGAAATTTCAAACACCAATAAATTGACAACACAGATAATTAACTGCATCAAACCATCATATAAGGTGAAATATGATACTATAGCTGAAATGCTACAAGAACTGACAATTCCAGATCAACTAAAATCATAAGCACGCAATTAAAGCTACACGCAGAAACAAATACTAAATAGAAAGTAACATCTAGTATCTCTTCAACCATACTACTTATTATAAACTAGGAAAGCAGATACTGCAAACTACTGGGATTCAAGCAACCCAACCAGTCCCATTGTGTATCACTGTATTGACATCGAACTTTGAGTCACTCCTTCGCTGCTGGAAGAATTCATTGTAAGCTCATAATTTAAGATTAAAAACGCCAGGGATCCTCAAGTTGAAGTACAAGATCCAGCAAGAGATTCAACTATCAAAATTACTGCTGTTGGGCTTGTCGAGACTGAGCACCACCATAGCCACCACCATAACCAACTTGTCCACCATGGGCACCATTTCCTTGAGGAGTCCCATAATTTCCAGATGCATGAGTTTGTTCAGATCTCCAAGCTGCATTTCCATAACCAGAATTGCCATTTGCATCCCCATAGCCACCACCCATATAGTTGCCACTGCCACCACTACTTGTTAGTTCATTTCCACCAGGACCACTGGCATTGCTGTTTGGAGCACTCCCAGTACGCCCTCCAACAGTACCATATACATTTGAATTCCCATAAGAACTATCACTTCCACCATATGCGCCATACCCACCATATCCATAACCTTGATTTCCATATCCAGCAGCTCCACCAGGGGACTGACCCGCAGTTGCTGAACCAGGACCACCACTACCAGATCCAGCACCACCACTGGGTGCACCCCAAGGAGCGGTGTTCCCATAGCCCATAGACCCATAACCAGAAGGAGCCTGTGCAGGCCATGAACTCCTTGGGCCACCTGGTGGACCACCAGCATAAGCAGCATTAGGGACATTTGGATTCCCATATGTTGCACCAGCAGGCCCACCATATCCAGCAGTGGCACCACCATAACTTCCATATGCACTATAACCAATGCCATTATTAGCCGGACCATACCCATAGCCAGGAGCACTATAGGCAGAAGAACCATAAGGTGGGAATCCACCTGCAGCACTTTGAGGTTGCATATACCTACTAGAATCCATACGACCATCATATGCATTTTGGTTGCCACCAGATGCCCCATAGCCTTGATAGCCACCAATTCCAGCACCACCACCTCCAGCACCACCCATCATGCGGCCACTTGCACCAGGATTTGCGTCCTTGGGAAGTGCACGCTTTACCTCTACTTGTTTACCATTCAAATCATGAAATGACTTGTGCAAAACCCTATCAACAGCCTCCTCAGTATCGAATGAAATAAACCCAAAGCCCCGTGGTCGTCCAGTATTCTGATCATACATGACTACTACATCAGTTACATGTCCATAAGATTCAAAGTACTGACGGAATTTTTCTTCAGTTAGGGTGGGCGGCAATCCTCCAACAAATATCTTTTTGGTTCTGATATTTCCACCGTTTCCAGAATTCATCCCAGAATTGGGATTTCCAGCTCTAGAAGTGACAGAAATTTGTTGATCCTCTCTTGAGAAGGCCCTCTTGGCATCAACCTGAATAATGAAATTATATAATAAATTGCTAGTTAGATCTGTAATTGATAATAAGAAATGAAAACAAAAGACTACAATTTATCAATATTCCACACTTATCAACATTGTTAAAACTAATCTGAGGCAGAGGCATTAAGTTATGTTTTCAGATATTTGTCCATTTTCAAAACCATAAAACACAAAAACATGATAATAAATATCAATGGATCACACAAGAATCATTTCTCACCCTGCCCTCAAACAGGGTAATGCACGTCCACAAAAACAAATAATCCAATCCAATTTCCTAAATACAAGCATATATCAACAGTCATGCTTACACATATTGTTGAAAGAAATTAATCGCATAGTTGCAACTTCAAAAGATTTCTAGTTCTTTACATTTCATGATTCAATATCTGAAAAAAAATCAAAGAGGTATAAGTAAACACCATATATTAGACACAACAATTCCAGCTTCTAGGTAATGGCATGCCAGCAGAAACACAGCCAAACAAAACAAGTTCCCAATATATTAAAATCTTCTGACTTTTCACTCAATGCTTTCTTTCTTTCAAGTAATTAAGAGGATGTTGAAAGGATATAGCATTGTACAATCAAAATTAAACTCCGTTTCCAATTGGTAGATGATATGTCTACAACCAAAGGAATAACATGTAATATTTTCCTAGAGTAATATAGCAGAGTATACGAAGATGCATCTATTCAGTTCCACTACACATTTATCCATTAACAATGGTTCACTAGAGCTAGTAGCATAACTGTGACCATTTGACCATGATTTTGGCAAAGCATATCATAAATTAAGACGAGTAAAGTAGTTAAAACAACCAATCCACAGACGATATTAACAACTCGAAAATTTTTCAAAAACAAAAATCCACCAAGCAAATAAAATAAGCACATGCCCTAATTCTAAGGGCAAACCACGAAAACAATCAAAACCCTAAACAAAAGCCAGTAATCATTCAACCAAAAAAAGAAGAAGAGAGAAACACTCACTAAAAACAAAACAAAAAAGAAAGAAAGAAAGAAAGAAACTAAAGCAACTGGTCAAATGAAGTTAAAAAAAAAAGAAGAAGAAATGATAGAGGCATGACCGTTCTTCCGTCGATAACGTGCTTATCTTCAAGAACCCTGTCGAGAATAGAAGGATCTGCGAAGACAACAAAGCCGAAACCTCGGGGCTTTCCGGTGTTCTTCTCGCGCATAACGGAAGTGCTCAAAACGTTACCGTAGTTGCTGAAATGGTCCTTAAGCTTATCCTCTGTAGTATCCCACGAAATCCCACCGATGAAGAGCTTTCCCTGATCCGAATCCATTTCCCTCTCTTTCTTTGTATGAATGAATACAAGATTCTGGGTTGATTTGAGTGAAAAGGTTGAAAGGTGGGGAATTTAGGTTAGGAAATGGGGGAAGAGAAGAGAGGGAAGAGGAAGAGGGTTTGTAGTGGTGTGGGCTGCGTGCCAAGCCAAGACACAAAATGAAATGAAATGAAATCAAAATGAAATCAATCAAATTCTCTCTCCCCATTTTGTTTCCTCTCACTTGGTCGTTGCATTTAACGGCTCAGATTTCTTTTATTCATTGCATTTTCGTTCTATTTATTTTATAAATTAACTTTTTAAGTGTCTTTACTGTGCCGTCATTTAAATTTAAATATTTAATTATTCATATTATTCATTCATCTCACACTTATGTTGGGTGAAAATTTATTAAAATATATATTAAATGAATACATATTTAAGGTACTTTATATTTTAGGAAAATTATAAAACATTTTTTAATAAGTAATTATATATTTCAAAAAAATAACTATTATAGATAAATATGAAACTAAATTTTTTTAAGGTATAATATTGTTGTCATAAATTCAAAATTAAATGTTTTTAACAACTTTTGTCTAACATATAAAATAATTTATACATCACAAAAACAATAAAATTATTACATGTTTACACATTACCTGATTATATGTGCAAAATCTGGCAATTAAATATCTACATATATTACTGATTTCTTCTGCCAGAAATGTTGTATCCCATTTTTTTTTATTGAAAATATCACAGGACATTTTTTCTAATTTTTTAAATATCTTAAATTGTTACTTCATTTATTTCGTCTTTAATTTTTTTACTTTTTATATTTTAAATATTCTCCTTTTTCTCTTATTATTAGATATTTTGTATTTTTTTAACAAATAAATTGCATAAAATAATTTTTTAGATACTAAATAAATATGTTAATATTTATTCAAGGAAAATTTTATTAAATACATGTTTAACATAAATAAGACATATATAATATTATTAATAATTTTTGAAAACCTATACGATATTGTACAATATATATATATATATATATTAAACATTATAACATCTAATAATATTAATATGTTTAACTATATTAATTTCTATTTAAAAATTACTATATATAATTTGATATTGTGTAATGTTACATAAATTAAAAAAAATTATTAATAATACAAAATGATTCATAATTTAAAATAATCTCTTATCTCTATCTTTATATATAAATTAAATCCTTCACTAAAAGTGACACATAGCATTATTTTTTACATTTAAAACACTTTTAATTTATTATTTTATTAATTTGTAATAAAATATTTTTTCAAATGATTAAATTAATATAAAGTGTTTTTTTACACTAAAAATGGTATTTCTTCCTTTACGTGATTTTTATTATATTTTATTAATATATAATAAACATACATATAAATATTTAATATTATTAACAGTATAATACAACTAATCATTAATATAAAACAAAATAGTTAGATATATTATTAAAAATAATTAAAATATCCCAACAGTGTCAAATATTTAAATTATTATTGTCGTCTTAATTCAATTATTAGGTCTTGCAATAATTAACTTAAAAGCTATATTTATCTTATATTTTTATTAATTAATAAGAAAGATGTTTATATTAAGAATATAAAATTAGATTTTATTATCAAGCCGTAAACCGCATGAGATAACAGTCTCGTTGTTATATAAAACAAGATTTTGTAAGTCATGCAACATTCGTTAATTCGTATACATATCTACCTTTGTTCAAATTTAGTTTACTTTCTTATTTCTTATAAAAAAAATTGAAAAATCATCACTATTAATGAACAAAGAAAGAATAATAATTTTACAAAACTAACAACTGTAATTGAGTGAAAGTCAGAAACTAGAAAAATCACAATCTGTGGGTACAAATTAATGTATCATAGTTATGTGTTTATTGGGTAATTAAAAAGTATATTTTAATTTATTTGAGGGTACAAATTAATGTTTAAATTTATTAAATAAAATTACATCAATTTAATTCCTTATGTGCTATTAATGTTTTGTTTAAATATTAACCACAAATAATAGAAGAAAAAGAAAAGAATGAGAAGAAAGTGAATAAGATCCATTGACACTAAGTATAAGTTTAAAAAAACTTACATCAAATTCTAACCATACAAATTAAATAATCTAACAATTGAAAAGTTACTATATAAAAATAATAATAATAATAATAAAAAGAGATAATTTTTCAAATGTTAGATAATTTTATTTGTGCGGGTGAAATTTAGTGTCTGATGTCAATGAACCATATCTCATATATATCAATTTTAACTCCAATCATTTGATTAGAGAAAAAAAATTTATCGCAATTATTGATAAGAGTTGTTCTCCCTCATTTTCCTTGTAAGAATAAATAGTTTTATGTAAGTTCTATATATTTTATTTTATTTTTTTTCTTTTACCATCAAAATTATAAAAAGCTTATTCTCTTGTTTGATTATGATATACATATCAAAAACACATTATAAATAATATATTAAAGTGAATAAAAGAATTAAAAATTAACCCATTATATATTTTTACATTGTAGGACTGCCTATTAAGGATAAATAATTTAATTGACTCTTATATATTCTCTTCACTTTAATGATAGACTTTTTTTTAGGGTATATATATTTTAGTTTTTTCATACTGTAAAAGAATATTTTTTTGTTTATTTTATAATATAGTTTTTATATGAGTAAACATTCACTTTAGTTTCTGAAATATGCAGGGTCAATCACATTAATTTTTTACATTTAAAATTTTAGTCTATGAAATTAACAATCATTAATCACATTAGTCTTTACTGTCAACAGACGTTAAAATTAAGTAGCAGAGTGATGATTTGTCACATTAAATAATACATGACAGGCTATTTTTTATACAAAACGACTTTGTTTTAAAGTTTATAAAAAATAATTTATTTTTATCTCTAAATTTTAACATTTTTGAGCAATAAGATTTTTTCTCGTCACCTTCTTCCATAGCGTCTTCTTTATTCCTCCAAACATTCATTATAACGCCATTAACATTGTAAAAGTTCTTCGTCTTAAGTTTTTTTAGTTACATCATTAAATTTAAGTCTCAAATATATGAGTAGATAACTAATTGTGATCGATTCAATGAATGAGCCTTATATATAGAACAATGAGTACATTGATTATATAAGTTTTTAGGGTTCTTTAATTATTGGTCACGCTACTAATTAGGTTCCTTTTGGGGTTGTAGATGGAAAAATCATTTATTTACAATGGTCATGTTAATTCTTTTCTTGTTAAGACTAGTAGTAGAGTTGTTATTATGGTCATGCTTGTCTTATCATTCATACACTTAGTAATCCATTACGATGATTGTCATAGGAAAGAAGAAAATGTAGTGGAAAGAAGTGAAATAGAAGATAAGGATAGACCTTATTACTTGAAAATATTAAAAGTTAGAGACAAAAATAAACTATTTTTAAAAATTTTTAAAATGATGATGTTTTATGTCTATAATAAATTGTCACATGTCATTTGACAAGACAAATTATCAACTTTATTATTTAATTTTAATGTCTCTCAATGACAGTGAGTAATGTGATTGATGAATATTAATTTGAAGGACTAGAATTTTAAAATTTAAATTTTAAAGATTAACTTTTGTCAATTTATATATTTCAAGGAATAAGGTGAATATTTACCCATTTTTATATAGATAAATTTGAACATAGACAAATTTATATATTTAAATCATGATCGATTAAAATTTTCATTCTTCGAAATACTTGAAAAAAAAAAGTTTAGAATCCATTACAAGGAATTTAGAAATAGCACAAAATATACGAAAAAAAAAAATATAATTTAAATAAAGATTCTTCAATAATTTGTATGTTTAATTAACGAAAGCTTAATTAATGGAAATAATTCTATTTATATTATTTTGAGTGTTATATTAATTTAGTATCAAATTATAAATATCAGAAAGAAAATATAAAAATATACAAAAATCAGTTCAGTCTTTAAATTAAGTAATGTGATTTTAATTTTTATAAATGTATTTTCAAATATCAAAATAACTTATTTTGTAATCCCAAGAATTAAGATGATGATTATTTAATATTTTTTAGAAACAAATTAGTAGATATATATAAGGTTAAGAATTAAATCCATGTACTACTATTTTTTTTTTTGTCAACTTGTAATAAATATTTAGTTAAATAATTTTCTTTTTGTTGGTCAACTTGTACTAATTAGTTAGGATTCACCCATTAAAACAAACAAGAAACAACCGAGGCCCATCAAAGGCCCACCATGCAGCAGCATCGGGTTGGGGCTGTCGGGTCGACATCTAATATTGATATTCGCCGTTAACAGGCCGGACCATAGTTCTGACTTGTTCATACCAAAAATAAATTAGTTTCTGGTAAGGTTTTTTATTTTTTTATTTTTTTAATTTGGTAAATAATTTATTGTTCTTTGTTTTAAATAAAATAAGTAACTCCACAAAGGGGGGGGGGGGGGGGGGGAATCAAGTGTTCGATTCAAAGTGAATGCCTAAATTCTTATCTTGTGAGCTTTTGTAGATCAAAAGCAAAATATTCGTAGTTCCATTTGAATCTCAAAAGTAGCTCAAATAGACACTGCGCAATTCGTTTCCACCTTATGTTATTTCCCTCAACCAAAATACATAGCATGGCATAAAATTGTTTTAAAAAAATTGTAATCTAGCTCAACATTCTTTAGATATGCCTACAAAGAAAGATTCATTTTCTTTTTGTTACAAAAGACCCACTTTAATTTGAAGTTTGATTTTAAAAGAACTGTACAAATTCATTTGTTCGCAAATTTTGACTATTCAATATGATTTTAAGAGCATTAAATATTGGGCATTTTCTTGCTATGTAGCGGTGGTGCTAATCTCCTGGAGAAATAAAATAAAATACATCATTAAAATAAGAACATATAGAGCAAATGGTAAAAAATATAGGAGAGCATTTTGCAATTTTGAGATCTGAGACAAAGCAACTAATGCTGTCCCTACCTTTCATTCTTAATATTGAAAAAAAACTAGTGTGCCCACAATCATCATTAAAAGCCTAACGTTACTATTTTCGAAATTGTTTGGAGCCAAACGGCTTTTAAACTTAGTCACATGTTCCTTCTTGTCTCTCTGGGTGGCATGCATGTCAGCTTCTGATTCATTATATGCCACCTTATCAACAACACTCCTAACCCTCTTCCTTCTCTTCCCCATAGAGAGACATGGGTTGTTTTATGGCATGTTTTGGTTTATCCAACAAAAGAAAGCGTAGAAAGACTCTCTACAAAGTCCTAGCTGGACACCAAGTAAGCACAGTCATGGATCTTCCATTCTTTTTTGTTCTTAATATGTACTGTTTAAGGGGTTATAAAAACATGTTCATGTGTCAGTTGGATTATACTCATCAGTTAAAATTTTAAAAAGAGTTGTAATATCTTGCAGAAATATGGAAATTATGAAATTCTTGCCATAACAGAAAAGTCCATTATCCCCTATTCTGATTTCAGGTTTGTATTTATTACCCTTTGTTTTCCTTAATGTTTCAAGCGCGTGTATGATAGGTAATTTGTTTATTTTAATTGTTAGAGGCAGAGATGAACCTAAGGAGCAGAATGGTGTCAAAAGCAAGAAGAAGAAGAAGGTTACTTTTAATTTGAATGTAGAGGTATATGAGCCAAACCCCACTGCTTATCAAGTATTGAAATATGAGGAAGAAGAAAATATGGACAACACTGCAGACGCAGAAGGATCTGCAGCCTTGACAATGAGATACCCTTTAAATCACAGATACTATAACTGCAAAGATGGCTATGATGAGGAGGATGAAATAGCATATGAGGAATCTGACATGGATGGCTATGATGATGACAATGAATTTGATGATGGGTATGATTGGGATAGTGATGAAAGTTTAGAGAATGATGAGGATAAGGTATATGATGAAAACACTAAACAGAGAGTGTTGACAGAATCATGCTTTCCTTCTGTGGCAGAAGATAGGATAAAGAATCAGAAGCCACTTGCTCCAAATGATGCTGAGGTGAAATCCAATTTAAGTGGACGAGACAGAGGCTTAGACATGCATTCTGTTCTGAGCCCTGTAGAGAACCTCACACAGTGGAAAGCAATCAAAGCAAAAGTTATATCAAACAAGCACAGGAGGAAGGAGAATGTTCCATCAGAGCAAAATACAAGCATGCATTTCTCACCTTGCAGCTTAGAATCAAATGCCCTTCAGTCCAAGCCCCTATTGCCAGAAATGGCAGTTGACGCTAGTCTTTCAAACTGGTTGGTTTCTCCAAGTTATAGTGTCTCCACGACCACAATTCATTGTCAATGAAGTGGCCACGTCGTTGAAGAAAAAGAAAAACAAGCATTTTTAATTGGTGATGAATTACACAGGAAAGGACAATATAATACTAATTTTCAAGGAGCAGACATCAAATTTTGATTCTTCTGTTGATTATTGATTTAGCAAATCAGTATATGCCAGTTGGGTTGATTTCATTGTATTTGTGTGTCTAATTCTTATCATGTTTTGTGTATTGTTTTGTGAATGGTGGTTATGTTGTGATCAATGGAGAGAGAGTGTATTTGTCTCTTTTATCTTTTCATGTTGCAGCAGCTATACAATTTGAGGTGTTCTCAATTTTCATGCTCACAATATGGTACCTTGTCTTTTTAAAGACATTAAGTAAAGTAATATTTGAATTAAGAGAGGTTATCATGTGGACGGTCTATGCAACATAGGTTGATATATAAAGCGTGGAACTGAATACAAACTGCATGCATACATACCAATTCTGCAGCAATGCCACAAACAGAATGAAAGAACCCTTTCAGCAAATCACTTTGGAATAACTACTTCAATCACAAAAATTTATTCCACATAATGAGTAATTGGGAAAATAAAGAAAAAAAGGCAGATGTATCCCCTTTAATTCAAAACATCATTAAAGCAATTGAGTGCATAATTCTTAGAGAAACAGTACACGTGACTAAGCATGATGCTTATTTAGTTAACATACATGGAAGCTGTGCTGCTATCAGCAATGTGTATATTTTGATCTGAATAGAGAGAATTCACAAAAGTACATCTAAGAAATCATGACAAAAAATCCAGCAAGATGAACTGGATCTGAACATCTGGCAAACACAAGGAGCTGCTTATCTTGGTTATTGGAGGGTTGGTCCCCAATCATCATATCTACTTCAAATTCAGGTTTCACAGGCCCCAAGGATGCTCCCTGGGATAGTCCAGCAAGAAGTTTGAGACAACATAACAAGATGGTATCTACATTATTGAACAGATACAAGAATCCTCATCCTCTGAGTCGCTAACATCACTGCACAGTTGGGAGACCAAATGTGAGATAACTATGGATGTATAACATATCTAGGATTGATTATTGTATTTAATTTTGTTTTGCTACATAGAAATTATTCGGCAGAAGTTGAACTTATATCTATATCTCAAGTAGGAAAACTTTGCTTATTTTTTTCTTCCTTTCTTTATTTTTCGCTAACAGCACACTTGGGAACTGCCCCTATCAATTTTATCCCTGAATTAACTACACATCTACTTACAGATTTACGTAAATGAAGAAAAAAGAACAGAGGAATGAGTGCAATTCAATCTCAAAAGTTGTTCACTGGTCAATGAGTCAGATGGCTTCTATGACATATTTTCCCATGCCATTTCATGATTAGTCCAGGAATGTGAAAGTGATACAACACAGGGAAAGAAAATGTAAATGATGAATCCATGAAGGAGAGTATTATAGTCAGAGAATTGGACGAAATATTAGCAGGGGACTTACAAGGACAGTAGGAAGCCTAACATACAATAAATCTGAAAAAGGATTCATTAAGAGCATGCTACCCAATTAGCCATGTTAATGCATGCACAAATGATGTCACCCCGTTATAATAATAGAGGACATGGAGATGGAAGCACGAATTCTTGAGTTGGCCAATGAGTCTTCATCAATGTCATATAATATATGTACTTAACCAAGAACTTAGAACAAGTTTACAAATCTTCTTTGGTAATATCCAACTTATGGAGGCAAAAGTCCTTTCTGTTATTTTACAAGCCTTCATAAAGTCTTAACCACACTTAAATTTTAATCTTCAGAAACATTTTGGTACTTAGAAATGACAGATGATCATTAGAAAGCACATATGCGCACTTTAACCAGAACTAAACTCTCTTGCCTGAGAATCTTACTTCGGACTTGAGAGATAACACGAATATGACAGACAAGAAAATTTCTGCAGACTTCATCAACTTATTGCAAAAGTGTAGCTTATTTATCAAAGATTCCATACGCAGAATTATATTATCTCATGAAACAAGTTTAACAAAAGATCCTTTAAAATTTTGTAAATATAATTACGTAACTGTAATGTAGCTGAGCAAAAGTGAGTACTAGACAAGTTACCTTGGCTCGTATTCCAACACCTCAACAAGCTTGTTTCCAATCTTATCGTTCCACTGCACCTTCCTACATATCTTATCAGTCTTCCGTGACATTGCTCCTCTTTGGGGTGGCAACAAAGAGTTGGAATCACTATCATCATCTCTATTGGCAAGATCTTCCACCTTTCTACCATCTAAAGAAGCCACAGCCACAGGTTTGTTAATGCAGCCATTAGCATCTTTGGTTGACTTAATATCCATCAACAACAACCCTCTTTCAAATACTCTCCGTGGTCCGTTTGGTGAAACAGACCCAAGAAGAAAAACAAATAATAAAATCAATCGAAAATTCAAGAAAATATAGAAATTTGAAAGAAACCCATTTGACCCATTTGCCTCAAAATCACACCCAACTCGTGAATCCCAACAAAAATGGAAACTTCGTAGCAGCCTTAGCAAGAGTTCAACAAAGAGAAAAACAGAACGAAAATGGAACAAAAGTTTAACGTTGACCCGACCAACATAATGGAAGAGCAGGGAGAGAATCTGAGTGTCAAGAAACAAGAAAACGACATAAATTTGTATGGTTGCAAAGTGAAAACAATCCACAACCAGAATCGGAATTGATGCATGTGCGCTCTCGCACGCTTCAGAAAACACGTTTCTGCTTAGAAAAACAAAGATAATAAAATCGAACGCATAATTAAGATTCAAACAAAGATTTGCCTGCAAACAATACAGGAACTGAAGAACCGCGTTTACTTTTTTATGTTTTTGTTTTTGGTCATTTCCACTTTCAAGTGGCTCCCATCATTTATGCTACCATTGGCGGCTAATATATGGTTTCATAAAAGTCGTTGATAAGTTAAATATTAATAAAAAAAATATAATATTTTTAATGATAGTTAAAAATAATAAATTATTTTATTAAATTTAAAATATTTGACCCACTTGTTTATAATTTTTTCACTTTATAAATAAATACATGTTTTGAAATAAAGTTAATTTTGAATTTTATTAGTTTTAAATAGTAAATGTTTTATTTAAAACTAAAAATAAATAAAATAAACAGTGAAATAATTCAAAATGTAAAATGATATTAAAAGTGACAGAAAATAACAAATTTATCAAAATATTTTTTTATAAATGATAAAAATTGAAATTTATAATAATTAATTAAGAATTAAAAAAACTTTTCCATTGACGGTGCATCAAACTTAATTCTAAAGAGATGTATTTAATTTTAGAATTCGTAAGAGGCTATACTAGTGTGTTTGATCATTTTATTCCGGAATTAGCAAATTTATTTAAAAATGAGCATATGTGATATTACTAAATTAATTTTATGGTAATTATTGAAAAATGCTTTACTTATTTAATTAATTTGATATCTTTATATATGTTGACTAATAATAATATAAACCAGTATATTAATGCATATTGATATATGCACATACACAATGTATTTATTATAAGATAGTGATTATCTTTAACAAAGCACTTTATCCCTTTTATTCATTTTCTTATTCTCCCTCCCTTTTCTCTTGCAATACTTACTATTTAAATTTTGTCAAATTGAAAAAGGTTTTGTAAATAATGCATTACTATTATATGTTTGATCTTTTACTAAGTTAAAATATTCAATAAATTTGTGATATAAATTATATAATAAATCCATACTATATACGTATAAAAAAAAACCTTTGTATAAAATATCAATGCTGATCATATGTGAAATAATGATTTTCTATAAAAATACAATTTAAACAATTCTATAGTTATAAAAAATATAAAATGATTATAAAAGTAAAATACTAAGGTTTTTATTAGTTTAGTATTAAATTTGATACAATATCAATGCAAAATTAAAATACTAAATTTATTATTAATCAATGTATATATTATAAATAAAAACACATGAGTTGCCGTCTCCAAAAAAGAGAAACTCTCTTTTCTTATTCCTAATAAAGGTGTATCCTAGCTATCTGCTAGGGTTTCTTTAACCTCGAGCTACGAAGGCTTTTTGCTCCTAATGAGGGCTTGGTGACCATTAGGGGCCTTATTAGCGGGTTTCCTCCTCGAAACCCCTTTCAATGGAGGAATTGAAAGCGAAGAAGCGTTCCCTAGGGGAAGTAGATTTGATCATCCATAGCAAGAAAAAGGTAAAACTGGACATCTCCTCTCATTAAGACAAACCAGAAGTGCACATGCACAAAGATGATGGCGTTGAAATATCGACTAATTAGGTGTCATTAAACCTTGATCCTAATGTTTCTCTCTCGTATAAGGATAAAGTTCTATCTTGTAAAGATTTAGATATGATTCTTGATGATAGTGAAATTGTGAAGTCTGTTTTGGATGATTCGGATATGCTTTTTGATAATGATGAATCTGATGATCTGATTGAAAATAACCCTAATCTTTGTCCCGAAATCAAAATCCCTTTAGAGGACTATGAGATCTGGTGCTCGCTCTGGAAATGTACTCTTATTGTAAAACTCTTAGGGAAATCTATTAGATTTGTATTCCTAAGTCAAAAATTGAATAACATTTGGGGTAAAAATGATTCCTTACTAATTTTAGACCTTAACCAATATAGATCCCTAGGTACCCCTAAAACTTATGATAAGAACCAAGTACATCAATCTGGATCTAGGTTTGATATTATGGGGAGTTCTAATTTTGAACAAGATCAAGATAGCTCCTTTGAAAACTTTACTGAGTCCAATCAACATGAACATGTAGTTATTGATAAATGAGGCAGTATGCTCCCATCAAGCTTAAGCCTTCCAATAGGACCAATGGGGAGCCTAAATTGGAAGCTACCCCAAGGAAATCTCATAAGACTAGAATTAAACCCAAAAATGATAAACCAGCTGGGGAGAAGGAGTCTTACTCCCAGGATGAGGGATCAAATGTTTTTAATCATATAATTGATTTAAATACGGAAGATACTTTTTTCTTAATGAGAAAATTTTAACACGACATTAACCAAAATGCCTCTAAAGGGATTTCCATTTGGAATCTACTAGGCCTAAACTATGGGAAAGATTGGCTTCACCCAAATAACAAGGAATGTGACACTTCAGATAGACTCCTTGACTTAGGTCCTCATATGAAATTTGATAAGAGTAGTCGCCCTCAATTACACACTAGTGTCATTCCTAATGGACCCCAACAGCTAAAATCTAGCCTAGTCCGGTATAAGCATCCTATAAATGCAATCTAAATCATCCTTGGTTTAAATAAACTGTCTTTTTTGAAATTGTAGGGGGCAGATAGTAAATCCTTTCCTAGGATGATTAATGATCTTATTGCTATATATAATTTAGAGTTTATTGCCTTATTTGAACCTCGAGTAAGCTTAGGTAAAGCTGATAGGATCAAGAAAAGAATTAATTTTGATGGCTTTGTTAAAGTGGATGCCACTGGATATTCCAGGAGAATATTGTGCTTCTGGAATACTAATAGCGTTAAGATTTCCCTCCTCTCTACATCTAAGTATATTGTTCATTTAAGAGTTTCTAATTTTGGTCAGAAGGATTGGATCCTCTCTTCCATATATACTAGCCCTTAAGAAAATTTGCGTTCAAAGTGCTGGAATGAGCTCATCGAGTTTAGTTTCTCTATAACTAAGCCATGGATTGTGACTGTGGATTTTAATTCAACATTGTATGCCTCTAAAAAGGTGGGGGGTAGACCTTCCAACCTCCCTCTTTCTAGGAAATTTGCAGATTGTCTAAATAAACATGGTTTGTATGACTTAGGTTTCAAAGGTAATCCCTACACTTTGGAGTAAAGGAAATTTAAAAGAGAGAATTGATAGAGTTGTTGCTAATAAGTCCTGGAATTCAATCTTTCATCATAGTTCTGTAATCCATATTCCTATCCCTAAATTTGATCATGTAGGTATTTGTCTCAAGATTAGAAGTAAGGATATCCTCCCAAAAAATAACAAGTCTTTCAATTTTCTTGCTCCCTCGCTCTCTCACTTTGATTTCTATAATCAAGTTAGGAACTCCTGGACCTTGGATGGAAAACATTAATTGATTTAAGATTAATATCTCATCCTGGAATCAGGAAACCTTTGGTCATATTTTTAATAAGAAAAAGCGCTTATTTAGGAGAATTGAATGAATTCATAACAAGTTAGCTCAAGGTCAAAATCATTTTCTCAGTAATATACTTAAAACCCTTTGGAATGAGTACCAACTTATCCTTGAATAGGAAGAAGTCTTCTGGCTCCACCATTATAGAAGTACTTGGGCTCAGTTAGGTGATAGGAACACCAGCTTCTTCCAGAAAGCTGCTACCAAACATAGGCATAGGAAGTTAATTAAAACTTTGAGGGATGATCAGGGTAATTGGGTCTATGACCCTGCCAAACTTAAGTCCATGATTCTTAGTTATTTTAAAAACATTTATCATGACCCTGACCCTAATAATTGTGCTCTGACCTGCCAAGTATCCTTTCCCCCTCTACGGGATACTAATAGGGATGCCCTTGAAGCTAATATTCTTCTAAATGAAGTCAAAACTTCTCTCTCTAGTATCGCCAATCGTAAATTCTCTGGCTCTAATGGGCTCTATGCCATCTTTTTAAAAAATTAGTGGCTCTTTTTGGCTCCTTTTATTCTGAATTTTGTTCTTGATATTTTTAATAATCCTTCTAGAATTGCTGCTGTGAATGAAATAGAGATTACCCTAATCCTTAAATCTGACCATCCTGAGCATATAAAGCACTTTAGACTTATATCCCTTTGTAATATTAGTTACAAAATTATTACTACGATAATTGCTAACAAAATTAGAGGCATTTTGAATCATGTCATCTCCCCTAATCAATCTAGTTTCATTCCTGGAAGGGAGGGAGTGGATAACTCCCTCATTTTACAAGAGCTAGTTCATTCAATGCATAGGCTAAAAACAAAAAAAGAGTTATTAAATTGGATTTAGAAAAAGCCTATAATAAGCTGAGATGAAAATTTATTATTGATACTTTTTAAACTTGGTATTAATGATAAGTTGGTGTCCCTTATTCATCACTGCATTTCTTCCCCTTCTATGTTTTTACACTGGAACATGATGAGGACATCAAGTCCCAAGCCTGGAAAGCCCAACACATTTGCATTGCATAAACAATTAAAGGAAAAGAGCCTAATTGTCAATCTAAATTTTTGAAGACTTAGTTACAATTTTAAGTTATTAGGAATATATTTTTTATTATATTTTTGTATTTTATTTTGAGATCAAAATAAAAAGTGATGCTAGCTGGTTTTGAACTCAAGCACACAAGGTTAAGTTTGCTCCTTAACCACTAAGACAACTTAGTTTTGCTTGTACTAAAGGATTTGTATTTTTCTTTTATTTGATTCCAAATGAGACAAACTCAAATTAAATTTGTATTAAACTTTGGAGATCATAATGAGAAGATAGACACGTATTTTTTCAGAAAGAGCATTGTGCTTGTGTGAGAGTTTTCTCTCTTAGATTCTTGATTGAACCATTTTCAATCTTATCAAGAATTTGTGATTCTTATGATGATTATTATTGCCTTAGCAATCTTTGATTGTGGCGCTTACCCTATCTCAAATTTCCTTTTCCATTTTTCACTTTTCAATTTTTGTTTCCCTAAATTGTGATTGAATCAAATCTTACTTTTGAAAAAACAAAACCCCAAATTTTGTGCAGAATAACTCCTGATCATATCTCATGTTATACGAAAGCTTTTTCAGTGATTTTTGAGCCCAAATTACGATTTAAAATGTGAGTTTTCTCCTCATTTTGGTCTCATTCAATTTGA